GAAAATTGTAAAAATGTTAAAAATTGTGAAAGAGTTATAGCACTTAAGGAGGTTCTACAGATAATGGATGTATCTAAAAATTGGAAAAAACTTTATGGACGTATAAATTAAGATGCGAAAAAAGTGCTCGAAAAATTTTAGCATCGGTTACCGTGTAAAAATTTGCAAAAATGAATTTTGAAATCACAGTTTTTAACATAAGCTACATATGGCAGAGGGGCTCTTGGAGACAGGAAACGAGATATTAATTATATAAAGGCAACCTACCAGAGATTCAAAAAACGGAGCTCTTATAGATCTTAATCTAAGCTTTTCAGAAATATCGAGAAAAACAAGGGTTATCGCGTAAAATTTTGTAATATTGGCTATTGAAACAGGCCATATCACAGTTCACGTAGCGTGCTTCGAATAACAAGGGAGATTTGGCAATGTCGCAGCGACTGCACCCGCGTGAAAAGTGTACAGCCAGTACAGCACCACAGTATGACAGCACCTCAAACTTAAGCACCTAACGTTTACGAGCGCTTACGGAGAAGTACTCGCTCTAGAATTAATTATGTGAAATTGTGAAATAACCACGGTCATATGAGCAGAACTGTCAAGTTCGCGACGTTACCACATTTTCTTCCATTATAAGCCGCCAGAGTCAAAGGAGCACTTACACGATATTTTTAATTATTCCTCGCTTCGACTAATATGGATATGATATAAGCTCTAACGTCATCAAAATTCACGAAAATATTTTATGAATACTTAGAATCGATGAATTTGAAGATTTTCTCTTCATCTCTCAACTGACTAGAGAGTACCTGTAGAACCTCCTTAAGGGGATGCTGGAGCCGTAGCCGAACTCGATCGGCGTCGGTAAAGAAGACCGGCGAACTATATCTGTCCTTGTATAGACAAAGATATAGACAAGGATAGCACGCTACATTGCACGCACACATTCGCACGATGCACACCGACATTATACTTTTATATTACGCTTCCAAATCTTGATTTGGGGGGTTTATCGATGTTTTTCTTGTTGTGCAATTCGGGGAAACTTGTTTTCGCGTTCGTACTAATGGTATATCTCTTATATGAAATACATCTTGTGACGAGCTGACAGCTCGCCGCAACTCGAGACGCCATATTGGGATAAGAGTAGGATAAGGAAATCTGTACTTCCGTAATTTTTTCTCGTTTTCTATATAAAATCGGAGTTTCCCCGAATCATTAATGTATGTACTGCAATTCTGGAGAAGGATTTTTAATTCTGTCAAATTAATACGACGCTACGTGCCGACAAAAAATGCCGGTAAAACAGACGGCTCCAGCATCCCCTTAAGGCGATGCTGGAGCCGTCTGTATAACCGACAAAATTACCATTTTCTATGTTATCGACTATATCTGTCCTTGTATAGACAAGGATAGCACGCTACATTGCACGCACACATACGCACGATGCACATCGACATTATACTTTTATATTACGCTTCCAAATCTTGATTTGGAGGGTTTATCGATGTTTTTCTTGTTGTGCAATTCGGGGGAACTTGTTTTCGCGTTCGTACCAATGGTATATCTCTTATATGAAATACATCTTGTGACGAGCTGACAGCTCGCCGCAATTTGAGACGCCATATTGGGATAAAAGTAGGATAAGGAAATCTGTACTTCCGTAATTTTTTCTCGTTTTCTATATAAAATCGGAGTTCCCCCAAATCATTAATGTATGTACTGCAATTCTGGAGAAGGATTTTTAATTCTGTCAAATTAATACGACGCTACGTGCCGACAAAAAATGCCGGTAAAACAAACGGCTCCAGCATCCCCTTAAATAATGAATCGTTGCCATTGATATACATTGGGAATTCAAAGGTTTTCGTCTCATGATGCCGACTGATACGAATAAATTGTAACACGATTTATTGATGCTTCAGGTTGTAAACCATTTTGTTCTTGTATAATTTCCTTATTAAAGATTTAATATTTAAACTTATAATTTATTTTGGTATTATATTATATAGTTGGCCGGAATTCGTATTACGCCGGATGCAGAAAATCCAATTTGTAGAGTTCCATTGCGAACCGACATTTATCAACTGGCTGCTCAAGCAAATATATTAAACGTACCAGGTTCGGCTGTAGAAGCTCGACAATCGAATTCAGCGGCCAAAAATTTTTACAGGAAATTGACACGAGAAATCCAATCCGCATCTGTGGTTAGTGTTACCAATCAGTGTTATAGAGATATGAATATCTTTTAGCCAAAATCGACGGGTGAACACAAGACCAAGCCGACGCAATCTAGTGTCAGAGAGCTACGAGGATTAGGTTTGTCGCCCGATCTTATAGTCTGTAGGTCGGAAAACCCCATTGGCAATTCCGTCAAAGAAAAAATTTCAAAATTCTGCGATGTGGTCCCGGAGCAGGTAATCATTAGAAAATATATATCTTAGTATTACAATATCGTTGCAGGATATATTTTGTTATGAAAACATGAATGATTAACATATCTTTAAATTTTACGACTCGGCCAGGTTATAACTATTCACGATTTAACATCTATATATCGAGTGCCACTTCTTATGGAATATCAAGGTGTCATAAAATTCCTCAATGATCGATTGCAACTGAATATCGAAGTGCCGCGTCCGCGTTGCTTTATGCGAAAATGGCGGGATCTAGCTGAACGCGTGGATCACTTGCGGAAAGATGTTAACATCGCTATAGTGGGTAAATACACGGAACTCGAGGACGCCTATGCCTCCGTTACGAAAGCGTTGCAACATGCTTCCATTGAAGCCGGATATAAATTGAACTTGACGGTAGAGTGTCGCAATTATTAAAAAGTATATTGTATTCATGCTATGCACGCTACGCACGCATGATTATATATATTGGATTGTTGTTTACAGTTTATAGAAGCTACTAATTTAGAAC